CTCTCCTTTCATTCAGTACATTAAGGTCATGACTCTTTAAAATCCCTGGTCGTGTTGTGTCATTTGAAGGAGAAAGAAGGTATGTTTGTGGAGCCAACTGTCCTTTGTAGAGTTGCATTACAGGAACTAATGTTTTTGGGGCTTGACCCACACTAGACCACACAGCTCACAGCACTGCAAGTACAATACTAAATCACTGGAATACACCTTTAATATCCCAAAACCTCAGCGAATACATTTGTATAAATTTTATTTGTCCGTTTTGTAAACTTACAGTCTACACGTGTTATCCTTTAGTCTACTGATCTCAAGTCTAAATCAATGTTCAGGAACTTGAGGACTCACCGTATCTGGACGAGAAATCTACTTAGGAGCTTTTATATTTAATAAAGTCCTCTCCCGGCAGACGGTTCCTGTCAGCCTGCTCTGTGAAGCGCGAAGCCGGTGCACTGAGTGCAAAGAAGATTAAAGTTCTCAAATATCTCCAAGGTTCAAAGCAGACACGGATCACTGCAACGATGGAGTGGTTGACGGAAAAGAAAAACCGAGGCCCCGAGACAGCCCCCCCACCTCGACGTCAGTGGGGATGCCTCTCAGTAATTCGCAGTGACCCGTTGATGGGCGTCTCTGAGCCTCTCTCTGAGCCCGGCGTGAGCTCCCAGCTTGCTGTGTAATTGCCTGTTGGTGGCCGTAATGGCTAACCGTCTCTGCTACGTTTACTTTTCATTACGCTGATGTATTCATCGCAGCCCCTACTGTTGACCTTATCAATCAGAGTTTAATTTCCTACAGAGTTATTTTTAATTACAACTGTTTCTCTTCCTCCCCTGCTCCCCCCCCCGAGGCCCGTTCAGATTGCAGTACCCGCCCGTCAGGAGGTGCCACAGTTACAGTCGCCCCGGTCAGAGATTAATCAGCCGTTACAGCGCCTCTGCCATGCTCGGAGCCTCAACTCAAATCCGCGACTCTCTGCTTAATTGGCAGTGAAATGGCGGAGGGAGATAGCCGCGCTGACCGGTAGCCAGCGGTAAAGGGCAGCCCAGGCTTCACAGCTCGCCTTTCGGCTGTCACACAACCTGATTACATTGGCCCGTACAGGTTTGATAACTGTATCCCTCAACCCCTGTGATTAAATTGATTGTGGGGAACAAAAATAATTGTGTCATCGTTGAAACACATGTGATACAATTTGTTAATTTAGTTGCTACATTTCTGCCGCAAGCTGAAAGCAGAAAAAGGTGGAACCCGTTGCTTTTCATTAAAAGAAAATAAACGCTGAAATATGGTTACGTGCTTTCCAAGAGATATTATACGAAGTAAAATGATTTTGTCAAGTCTGCCTTGAAGCCAGTTAACAGAACCCCCCCCCCCCCCCTTTGTGTGACACAGTGGACGAAAAGGTCATGGTATTTGAATCCCAGCTCTACTTTGAATAAGCAAACACAACAATTTCAGGTGAGCAGTTTGCTCTGCTTGTTAACACATGAAATAGAAAAGGGTGCGTTTGATTCTTGTTCCTGGGGATGAAGGCCTTTGCATCCCATCTCGTCATGTTCAGCTAAACAGCCACGAGGTTTCATAAGACGCCGGCAAATCGACCTCTCTCCATTCACAAACAGAGGTTATTGCTCGCAATTTACCAAGTGCTTTTAGTAGCCATTGAAGGTGTTTGCTTTTGAAAATTGGGGTCACTTAGAGAGCAGCTCTGTCTTTTTCTGGTGTTTGCTGATTTTTTTATTTTTTTTAAGCACCCATCCTATTAGAGGCTGTCTGAAGCCTGAAGGCTGAGTCGTATAGTTGAGCACCGCACAGTTTGATCAAAATGCCAAATGGGATACATTTTCTCATTGCCGTGCATTCGTTGGCACACATAAGCTTTGCAAAGAGAGCAACTCTGAGAAGCGCTTCCCTCTGACTTCACCTGCGGAGTGAGGTGACGCGGACACATTTGGCCGTGTGGGGTGTCATGTTCCCTTTGTATTGATCAGGGGATTAACCGTGTTTAGTTGTGATTCAAGGTGCCAGGAGTATGTAGCTAATCACTTAGTGTCGAGGCATTAGAGCTTGCAGCCGAGGGTTCGATCGTGGTAAGCGGCTGCAATGTTTCCCCCGGGAATCTCTGGAACTGATGGTCTGGCTGCTTCATTTCTCCAACCCCCCACCCGCCTCCCCTCCACCCCTCTCCAGCCTCTGACAGCCCGCATTATTAGCAAAAAGAGAGGCTCTTATCCATCCATTTTTCGTGTTAATGGCCCGTGTCTCAAGCTGTCAATACATGGACCCCATTACATGAAGACGGCGTCGTATTTCTCACCAGTCAGATCGGATGTGCTGCAGATGTGGGTCGGGGGGTTGGACACGTGGGTGGCGCCCCATCAAGACACTGCTGCGATTACCGGAGGTGGACGCTCCTTTAATGCCCTCATCACTCCTGGTGAAAAACCATTCCATCCCACACACACACACAGAGAGAAAGCGGCAAGGCTTTGAGACATCATTAACCCGCAGTGGAAAGATGCACTTCATGTCGTGTTCTGGTGATATCACAAAGGTCACCAGCATGGAGATGTCATCAGACTAGATTGTGATGTTCTGTTGTCTGCCACTTGCGTTATGCGTGTAGGGATGATGCACCGATACCGATATCTGGTATCTGATCGATACCCAGTGTCTGCAGAGGCCCATGGTATCGGTATCGGGACTGAAGAAGTCAGATTGGTGGATCCCTAATAATCATATAAACTAATATCTCGGGCTTTGGACTGACAAAACAAGACATTTAAAGGCATCCACTTGGATTTTGACGAACTGGGATGGATATTTTTTATAGACCAAACGTTTGATGGAGTGAATAATCAGCAGATTAATTCAGTATATTTATATCTTGTATTTATTTGTAACATTTTGTTTTGCAAAGTAAGGAAAGCAATGTTTAAGTCAAGGCCAATGTTGCCTTATACAGACAATGATCACTTCCACACAGTGAAGCATACAGCTTATTCATTAAACACCGGTATCTGATCGGTACTCGATATCTGCCGATACCCAAAGCCCCAAAAAAAACAGCCTCTGATCACATCGTGCTCTCACAATAGAACATTTAGGCATTTGTGATAACAGAACATTTAGGTCAGCCTGACACTAAGTAGTCACGGCGAGCGGCACAAACGGCCACATCAGGGATTTAAAGGGCAACAGGCCTCCTAATCCGTGAGAGGACCGAACACGAAGTTGAGCCTCTTTTTGATCTCCAGACTCCTCATTAGCTGTCACGCATTGTGCTCAAACAGTGTTATAGCCTGTTTTACACATTACTTGGGGTTATGCACTTGTTCCAAGTTGGAGGAGGATATTAGCTTTTTTTTTCATCTGCTTTCAAATGTCTTTCTATTTTTCTCTTATGATAAAAGTCTTCTTCTCCTGCTGAAGCAGTAATTGATTTTGCAGACACGGAGAGCCAGATCTGACATTAATACCATTGTGTGCTAATTAGTCTGCACCTGCATCACATTCCACAAAAAAAACAGGTTGGTCTGTCTTTGCGGCAGCGTTGGCAGCGACAGGGATGACCCATAAAAATCATGTTTCTCTATGACATTCCTGCACAGCGTCGTCAGCAAGCTATCAATTCCCCAAATGACACGGTTTGGCATTTAAAGTTGAAATCCGGCATCATTTTACCCGTCACCGTTGTAGCACGCTCATGCATATTTATCACGTTCTAATAGACTATTGTGCTCCCATCTCTCTGCCCCTGTAAATGATCTCCTCTGGCTGTATTTGGGCCGTTAGTCATGCTTTCTGGCCTGACACCCGTGAATATGTATCCCTGTAGCGTTATCGTGTTGTTCCCATGGTCTCATTAGCTTTTTGAGGGAACCCACAGTCCTCAAAAAAGTAATTGCACAACTTGAGCTAAAATAAATCAAGTTTGGTTCTTTATCATGTACATTTACAAGCATTCTGGTATTCTGTTATACTTACAAAAGTTCATTTTTATGCAGTAAAAATAACATAGATGGGAGACAAAGACATGACGGTGTCTTTTATTCTCTTAGTTAACTAAGAGAATAAAAGGATCTCTTGGTTATCCATTACTTTACTATTTTGACTTTTCCTGAATGCTTGCTAACTAGTTCTCATGTGCTCTCGGTAGCAAAACATTGAATCTGTTTTTAAGTGCCGTGAAAACAGATAATTACATAAAGACTGTATGAACATTGTAGAGTATGTGGTAACATTTGTCGGTCTTGTTTGTAGAGTACACGTTTTAGCATCTGATGTGGAGTTTTTATTTTCTTTCACTGAATGGAGAGTATTAGTTGCATATGCACTTCATTCCTTATTCAACATAATGTTTTTTGTTCTTTTGCCTTGCTTTGTGTCATGTTCAGCCCACAAACTTAAACTTGAGCTCTAAAGCACACAAAGTGTAATTTGTGGCTTTGTTCTGGCCCAGCTTGAAAGCACTAAGGAGTCGTTTCCTCTGCCCCCTTTTTTTCTTTTTTTTCTGACCGAAAGAAGGTAAACAAATGGCAAGTGGGTCGGCACGGTGCCGCACAGGCCAGGGGGCAGTTACTCAATTATAGCCCTTAATCAGGCCCTCAGCACATGAACTTTGTTTTGACTCAGCCTTGGATACAGTTTTCTGCTGGCAGCGCAGTGGTGGTCATTGATCAAGCATGGCGCGTTGCTTTAAGACCTGCAGGGAATGTCTGAAGGAAGAAAAGAACAAAAGAGAGAAAATAGGTTTTGGGGGGAGATTAGCAAAATGAGAATGTCTTGTAGAAACCTAGGCTGGAGGAGCCAAGAAGAAGAACAAGTGTGTATTCTTGCTAGAGTACACTGCCTGTGTGTGCATGTCCAAGTTCAATTGTTTATTTCTGAGGTGAAATGAAACTGTAGATGTACATCTCACCATGATAGACTTGATAGATCCGATGCATCTGGTAGCAGAAGTGTTTCACTGACGCCTCACACTCTGACTTCTGTCCCCACAGTGAATAAGCACAAGCCATGGATTGAGACGTCGTACCATGGGGTGATCACTGAGAACACTGACGTCGTTCTACTAGATCCTCCTCTGGTGGCCCTGGACAAAGACGCCCCCATCCCTTACGCAGGTATGGCTCATTTCAACCCTAATGGCTGTGAACTGGAGGGTGAGCATAGCAGCCGGGGTGGAGGCGGGCTATCTCAGACCTAATGGAGGCAGCCAATGATGACTCAGGTGTTAATCCGCACAGGGAAGCATAGCTGCAGGATATAGTTACACTAAGGATATAAATCATACAAAGCTGTCATGTGATATCGCTGTGAAGGGGCTTAAATTGGCTTCATGTACTATAACTGCAGCATCACAGCTTTTTCTTTTTTCTTAGTGTTAACCCTGCATGCATTTAATCCAATAATTCCCAGTGAGCACACATCACATACAGGACTCATATTTCATATTTATTTAGAGTGGAGAGTGGCCTAAATAAGCCCCATGGTGGCTGAAGACACTGCAGAAAAAAAAGAAAGAGTCAGACCGGATTAGATTCTTCCCACTTTGTGACCATTCCAGCTCTTCTAAAGGGTGCCAGCTCTTGTGGGAGGACGTTTGCTGCAGGCAGTCGGCGAGCTCAGGCTGCCCGCCAGGGCGCTAATGTGGCCAAGGCCCTAGCATGGGGCTGCAGCGTGGGGCTGGAGCCCACTCACCAAGGCCCTCGAGCTGGGCTGGATGGATGGATGAAGTGAGAGAGTGTGTGTGTGTGCAAACGTGCATGTGTGTAAAACAATTTCCCATTGTTTGCTACTGTGTGTGTGTGTGTGTGTGTGTGTGTGTGTGTGTGTGTGCGCTGTGGCATGGCCTGAGGGGGCTCACTGTAATGGCCACCCTACAGGGAGAAAGAGAGAAAATGATTAGACAGTAAGGAGGGCAGCTGGCTGACCAGCATATGTCCTCTGGCTCTCGATAGACTGACAGCCATACAACGACAACACACACACACACACACACAACGGGCAGAGCGCATGGGCATTGGATTTCATAAGCGACGGTACCGAGAGAGATTTTCTCAGTGAATTATTAATAAGCATGCAAGAACATTAACATCACCGATCCGTCTTACAGACGTCTACTTCTCTTCCTCTTGATGTTTCTATCAGATCTCATTTCTCTCTCGTTTCCTCTCATCGCCACTTCCCACATGTTCTTTTTTATTTTGTATCTCACCTCCTCCTCCCGCGCACCTTCGAGCTATGCCCAACAACCCCCCCACGCACACACACAAACACACACGCACTGCAGCAGTCACCCTCTTTTCTCCTCCTCTCAGCAGTGGTGTCGGACCAGTCGTTAGTTTGACCAGCTAGGTTTTTAAATACAATAAGAGACAGAAATGTCTGACTGACTGCAGTCATGCTGCTGGGCTGGTGATGGCAGGAACTACACGGAAGAGATTACGTGTTCAAATGTGTTTTTTAAAATGAATATTCCATCTTCGCCTTCCTAAAAGCACCTCACGACTCTGTTTGATTCAATGGGAAAACACCAACAAACTAGCACACACCCACAGTAATTCCCCGCTAGTCTTTTACATCACTCCAAAACCTGATCGGTAATCCTCCCGGCCCGCCGAGCAGGGTACAACAGTCACCACACTCACTGGTCTGGAACAACAGGAAAAGTGGTACCGCTGTTGCCTGAAAGCCGCCGGAGACTGACATCAGCCGTCACTGCAGCCACAAGCTTCAAAAACCACACAGACAGCATGTCAGGGAGAGTGAAATGCACCGGTACAGATAGACTTATTGTATCACGCATGGCTATGTCTGACAAAGTGCATGCGTTTCTCCCTAAGAAACAAAGAAAATCAAAAAAGGTAGGCGACACAAACAGCTGTGCTGCACATAACAATATCAAGGAAACACACTTTGATGTACATCTTAAGCTTTCTGCGCTAATCAAAGGCCCATTTGTTATTCATGAGCTGACACACATGTACATGAACACAGCTCGTCTGGAGCATATGCTCATGTCTAGTCTGTCACAACACATAATTTTATTAGTTGACAAGTGCCAACACAAGCTCAGTCGGTCGTCAACCTGAATTTTTCCGTTCCCTGACAGCTATACATACACTATTCATATACTATTCATACACTATTCATTGTGAGAATGGAGTTGTGGGATGCTGCAAACAATCAATCCGACACAGGGAGTGCTTTCACTTCGTGTTTCGCTTTTGGAACAGATGTCAACTATTTTTCCCTTTGACGAGTTTGGACGACATGCCGTACAATCTAGTTTGTGTCCTTTACTTTTTGCCTCTCTACATAAAGAGTACACTACTTCCACCTTTAACACTGACTTTTAACATTGGCCGTAAATGTCGATGCTGGAATTGACCCTTCTCTAAGCCCCACCCCCTGCTGCTCCTCTGTCAAGCTGTCAGATCTACCATGGAGCCCACACTGACACTAACTGGATAAATATTTACATATTTTCTGAAAAATTATAAAGCGATATATCCAGGATGTCAAACTGCTTCAGCAGCAAAAACAGGTTAAAAAAAGATACACACTATAACGAGACTATTACAATCATTAAAAAGCAAAAAGCAACATGTGTATACATTGTTAATAGCTTTATAGCTCCACAGGTTTTATGTAGAAACGTAATATTTTAGAAACGTGCGGATAGTAGTAGTAGTAGTAGTAGTAGTAGTAGCGGTAGTGGTAGTGGTGGTAGTAGTAGCGGTAGTGGTGGTAGTATGATTGGCCAGTCTGAGTTTGGAGGCAGGACTTAGCGGAGGGTCAGTTGTCCAAAAGGTCTTGGGACTTGTGGTGCATTTGTTCCATTTGTAATACATTTTTTGTTAACTAGGTAACATCGCCACAGCAACTTGTTTTGATGTAAGCCACAAAACATTATTAGATACATTAGCATCTGTTTAGATATGATTAATTGGAATGTCTTCATCACTCAAAGGAGGATTAACGTGGTGAAGACAGATTGAAATGAATCCAAAAATGACAGTTGAAGCTCAAATGGTGCAGCGGAGAATCTGCAAGTCAGATGTGTTGAAGTGTTGTATGTCGCCTTGAAGATTTTATGCTAATGACTAAGTGAATTTCAAGTTATTCAGCTGTGCTAACCAACAGCAGCTAAACATTATTGATTTAGGAACGGAAAGTACAGTCTAAAAATATTCACTGTGCTGCCTTTTCAAGTGTAGCCTGCGCTCTGAACTCCGTAGTGGTGGTTAATAAGTGGGACCAGCTCTGTGGTCCATTAGGTTATTAACATGAGACTGCTACCACTGTGCTGAGTAAGCCTCTAAAGTTCCGGGTTAATGAGGTTAATGGGCAAAAGCTGTGCTGAGCGCCGTCACTTGACACAGGTTAGCTGGTTGTCAGTCACTCTTGGTTGTTCTGTTGCCCCTGCGCACACACACACCCGCACCCTTGGATCTCCTAGTGGTGTGGGCGTCCCGCCACAAAGTGTATTCATGTGTCAATCCCTCGCTTCCACTGGTCCCCGGGGAACCTGCGGCTTTTGCTTGAACAGCGCTGGCAGTTTAGACAGCTTCACAAGACCCCAGTGTGCCGTGCACACATACACATGCACATTCGGTTATGCATAAATTATATGTTTCACCCTTTATGTTGGCGATGATGTGTCATATTTGCAGTTTCGGCTTTTCTCAAACTCTGAATATGGGAGGACTTACTTTTTTATTTCCGGGAGTCCTGCAATCATTTACCGCAAATGAGAAGTCAGACTGACGGCAGGTATCAGCTGGTTCCCGCTGCCTCTTTTGATGTCTAACAAACAAACGGGCCTCATGCAAGAACCCCTCATACAAACAGATTTGTTTATGAGAACGTGCCGCATTCACCAATTATCTCGTATTTTAATTTTCTCTTAGGTACGTACACAATGTAGGAGCTGTTATCCAAACTAAGTTTTTCTCAAATGCATTGTATATTTAATCACTTTAAAGCAATTTTGAGTTTGAAAACCCTATAAAAGTTAAACTTCATAATTATGTGGACATTATACTGTTTGACTCTGCAATTTGAAATAATATAATATAATTCTAAATGTATTCATAAAGCCTTCCAATATCACCAGTAATTCAAATTAATATTAATGCTATTGTATAACACTAAAATACCAATATGAACATCTTAAATTATTTGACCCCCTCCTGTTGCCGTCATTTTCGCCTTGCTGTGGCGAGACATTTTTCATACGGAACCATTCTTTCTCTATTTCAGTGACACTACGACCCTCAGGTGACGAGGCATTAACAGAATACAGTATTTTTCCTTCCATTCCTTGGCTCTAGCAGATCCCTTAATTCCGTTGCTGATGCTGTTGAGACTGATAGACTTTCCTTTAGGGATCTCCGAAAGCAGGACTTCAATAAAGCACATGGAAGCTGGTCTAGCCAAATATGGTGGTTATTATAATAATTTACAGTTCTCGTGAACGGGTGTTCATTTACTCAGGTGACATTCATCATGTTAATACCGGTCATTTACAGAGTTATCTGAAGTCAGGAGTATTTTTGGAATCTGACATTCGAACGAGAAAAAAAGTACCAAGAAAAGTAAGATACACCTTAAAACACCGTGATGTATTGTGAAATTCAGACAGTGACCTACTGTATTATGCTTGTACTGTATATTGCTTTGAAAGCAATGCATTCTGCGAGTCATAATGCCCGCTCCCATAATGGTCAAGTGTCTGTTTTTTTTCACAGTAATTTACTGCTTACTGCTGACAAATGACTGTACATTTTGATGACTGTATTTTTCCGGCACAGTAGAGAAAGCGAGTGAAACTGCTGCCACTAAAATACTGTCATTTTGAACCATTACAGTAAATACCCGCTTGCTTTAATAACAGTCAGTTGCTGTATTCTTACATAGAGAAGCTGTAGATTGTAGAGTAGTAGATTGTAGAGTAGCTTGATGGCAAAATCGCCGCTGGTAATTTACATTAATTTTACAGTAGATATTTGTACAGCGTAAGAATAGGAAAATGTTCTGCACGAAGTCGATCGTCTCCGAATTCTTTATGTATTACGACACTGTAGGCATTATTTAAAAAAAGTTAAAAACAAAACAA